GCCAACAACAAAGTACATTTTGGAAAAAAGATGTTCAAAATCTTGCTTCTAAACAAATATTTGCACGATGGCAAGCCATCCTTAGCATTTTTTATTTTGACATAGAATTTATAAATGGTTCTTCGAACTCTCTTCCAGACTTCCTTACTGGAAAATTTTAGCAGGGAGGACGAAGTGTGGAAAACTCTCAGGCTTTCAATCCTCAGTCATAATGTCGCCTACCACCAGAATGCGAGATAAGAAGAAAATCAAAATCAAAACTTGGAGAGAGATCTTTGACGATGAACAAAGGATCCCTTATCATTCAAGTGAGTATGAAGAGAGTTATGATGATTTAGGTTCACACTTAAGCTCTTTCAAAGCTTTAATCAATCTTGATAAGCTTCTCTCGTAGCTCAGAATTACCTTCAGAAATTTATTCCCGTTTCAAGGTATAAACAAAAGCTTCCTACTGAAGCTTCAACTTCCTCAACTATTTTCCCAGCTAAACTATTTCTTTCAAATAATCAAACGTCAACTGGCATCCTACCCCCACCCATTTCATTAGAAGAAACCAAACAAATCTATCAGCAACATCATCTTGATGTCGCAACTACCTCAACAAAGGTGGCATTTTCGATAGCCCCTCTCAAAACCGTTTTCCCTAAACCCAAGAGGTGATTTCAAACATATTTTAAGAAAAACACTTTTCAGCCCATTTTCGTTGTCGAAGATGGTTTCTACCATCAATATCCAAATATTACTGCCAAACACGTCCTCAATAAGTGGTTCTTCAAACCAAGATCCCTCAACAAAACCCAAAAATATTATGAACTTATCCCCATAGAAATTGGATCTGTCACCTTTTCCCCAACCCTTCAGACAAAACATTCAATACCCACTCAACCTGCAAAATCCACCAAATTATTCACACTAGCCAATGGCCTGCTAGCCCAAACACCAACCAAAAATTTCCTGCTACTATTGCCCTTAATCACCCACAAATCTTCCAATCTTTCAATTATTGGGATTGTTATGATGTTTGGATCAATACCTTCTTTACGCAAAACCATATGTACCGACACTCCTGGAGTTTTTTTTTTCTCGGATTACAAAAGTCCCATTTTATGCACTGGTGTGATCTTTTTGGGCCAACTAAAAATATCTATCCAACTGAGATACAAGTGGGATATTAAACCTTCTGCCAAAAATATTCTTGTTCATGATTACCCCTCATCAAATTTTGTTACTACATCAAAGTTCCATTGATTACAGTCTTGGAATTCAGTTACCAAACTTGTGCCGTCACAAAGATACTCATGTTAGGCCACAACTTCAATACCAAATATTGGGCTGCAAATCCTCGCCCAGAACAGGCCTACAAACCTCAAGTCCTCCAATGGTTCAATAAAAATCCTGAACTTTCCAAAGTTATATAGAATCCTGAGTGCAATTTTGGTAAACAAAATCCTCAATCAGCGCTCTATTAGATGGAGCCAAGACTGAAGAAGAATACTTCCAAATTCTCAAAGATGCGGGGTCTAGCTCAATTTCTAACGCAGATTCCATGTTCCAAAACCATGATCCGGATGAAGAAGTGCTTGGCCCTTTGCCAAGAAAGAGCACTAAATTGAAGACAAAGAAGAAGTGACCTCATTTCTTCTTCCACTAACTTGAAGACAAAGAAGAAATGACTCCATTTCCAACTTACTATCGCAAACACAAAGAAGAAGTGACTCCACTTCCAACCCACTCACTTTGGTTATGGAAAGAAGACCAGAACTTATGTATTTATCTTTACTTTAAAACTATAATTTTTTATGGCATCTAACATAACCAACCAAGTGTCCACATTGTCATCATTATGTCTTTCATTTTATTTACCAAAAGGAGACTCCATTCCTCAATGTAAGGAGGCTCCCTTCACTTGTTGAAGTTGAGTTGTTTTGAGTTTGAAATCGATTTTGAGGGGCTTGCACAACCACCACCTCTTGGGTTTTGGTAAAAACGGTTTCAAGAGGGGCTATCAAAGATGCCACCTCTGTTGAGGTAGTTGCGACATCAAGGTGATGTTGCTAATAAATTGTTTGGTTTCTTCTTAATTGGGTAGGATGCCAATTGGCGTTTGAGTATTTGATAAAAATAGTTTCGAAGGGGAAATTGTTGAGGAAGTTGAAGCTTCACTAGGAAGCTTATGTTTAGACCTTGAAATGGGAATAAATTTCTGAAGGTAATTTTGTTGGCTTCTTCCCTGCACTCAAAAAAATGAGTGCACACAATGCACTCAACAATAAAAGTGGCCTTAACACATCAAATTTTGAATTTTAATTGATAGCATTAGTATGATATGATGATATAACATAAGATCGCAACTAATCAATCCATTATCCTAACCCCTTAACCTTCAATTTTGAATACAAACCTAGAGCCCCAAATTATAAATTCTAACCTCAAATCTCTAAACATTTAAAACTTCAAATAAAAGTAAATCTTGAATGATTTTTGTACAAATTCATGTTTTTTTCTTGTCCACCATATCACAACTAACTATTGAGATGTTCTGACATGAATCACCTGTTGAGAATGACGATTATGAGGCGAGTACATTGAATGCAAAAAAAAAAAAAAGTACACCGAATACAAAATCATATATATTTTATAATTTGAATTAGAAAACTAGGAACTGAGATTCATACATAAGAGATTAGAATATCGTGTAATGCCCCAATTTCCACGTAATTCAATATCTAAATAACAATAATAAATGGAGGTATGCTAACCTTATAGTTTTGTCCTGGGTATACTATATGGTATACTAATAATACTCAAATCATTCGGTATATAACGAGGCAAAATTATTCCATCCATATGACACATTAGAGTTACGCTGGTGGCTTGTAAACCTCACCTTACCGACAAGTTCGCTAGCCGAAGACAGTGACAGCTTCAATATTCGATCCCAAAGAAATTAAGCAGAAGATGCATAAATACATGTCATAACAAAACCATTCCCAAAAACTCAACTACAATAAACAATATGATGTATTATAAAAACAAAGCCGGCCACTTATTCGTCAATAAATAACAAATGGCATGTATGCGCCTACCCGTTACATTGTTGATTAATTTTTGGTTTACCCATAAAAAGAGGAATTTTACGGGATGGAATAGGGTGCTAACAACAATTAGTAAGGGTATCTTCTTTTCATTCTTCTTTAATTTCACTAAAATCTACCCATCAAACCGACTCCCTTCCCTTTTGCCTCAGCTTCAGCTCATCGACTGCTCCATGTAACCAACGATCGCGCTTTAACCGTCGCATCTTCACCATTATCAATTGCGCCATTGCCATGTCAACGCTACAACCCTCTATCTTGCACCTCCATTGTCGTTGATGCGCACCGCTAGTACAACCATCGACCTTATGTATGCCATATTGTCATAGCTGCTTTATGAGTTTTGTGATGTGGTCAGCTTTATACTGATCTGCTTTAGAAAATTTGTGGCAAGTTTTGAATTTTCTTGTATGCTTTATAAGTTTTGTGGTGTGGTGAGTTTTTTATTTGTTTTATGAGGTTTATGGTCTATTTATGTTTTTTGTGGTATGATTTGTCGTGTTTTCTGTCCGAGTTTTTATATGAAAAAGACATCGGTGCCCCTCCATTTAAAAATCCGCATTAAATTATTACCAAACCTTTCAGCATAGAAAGTTTGTGAAAAGGGAAATTCATATTGACTGGATTGAGTGTTAGCACCATAGTACCATACTAACAAATTAGGTGTCAGCACCCTATTCATGGCCGAATTTTACCATGCTTGTTACTGTCGGTGCTTTTGTTGACAAAGAAATATTAATTATGGAACAAATTGAACTTATACTTTTCAAATTATGATAAAATTCAATTTTTACTTATATGTTTTCGTATAAAAACATTTATAGTACAAACTGGACCTGTATTGTTAGCGTTATTGTACAAATTCAGGAGTTACCTGGAAGCACCAATGCTTCATAGCATAGTAGAGGACGAGCTGTAGATCTAGACTTTCATAGTTAAAATTTCATTTTCAATTGCTAATATTTGTTTAATATGATTATATAGCATAGAAATTTAAAACTATTCAGTGAAATTTTGACTCATAAAAGTTTCCTTGCAAAAGAGTCATTTGTTACATGAATCCAAATAAATTGTGCACGACAATTTTCAGAGATACTTGAAGTATAGGTAAATTGTAAATATTTTTCGCATAAATTCACAGGTTTTCATTCATAAAAAAAAACTTCACAGGTTTTCATTACAAAACTCGTACAATTAAAGGTTGCGGTCATTAGTGATGGCAATTTGAACCCGCCCCGCGAGTATTATTCGATCAGGCTCGTGACGGGCGGGTATTACCCGACCCGCAGTAACATTGGGTGGGGCATGAGTATCTACTTTCAACCCGTCCTGCGCTGCCCCGCCACGTTCTTGGCCCATTCTACCTCAATTTCTTACAATATCTATACATATTTTTCCTATTTTGACTTTTTTTCAACTAGTTAGAGTCGATCTTTCAACTGGTTAGACTCAATTGCTCATTCTATTATCACTATTTTTCATTCATAAAGTGTTTTTTCTCCTTCGTTTTATCGTAAAAGATAAAATTTACATGTGTTTTTTTGCAAATAATATGTAAGAGTGGATCGACCCACCCTGCCCAGTATCCGCACATATTTTACCCGCCTCGATCCGTAGTAGTGTAGGACGGGACATAGATATTGAGGTACCCATCCTGCCCCGCCGCATTACTATCAGTAGGTCATTTTGAGACGAATCCTTATGGTCAAAATGACAAGTATGAAACACCAAAAACAGAGAGTCAACATTTCTGCATCCTAACAAATAATTTTTACAACAACTAGTTGTTAAATAGATAACAACGGAAAATTGATACTTTGGCGAACGGCCCAACAACAGTACTCTGCCGGCCCATCTCAATTTCTGGCAACTATAAAAGTGAAGCCCTCCCCAGCAGCGTTTCCATATCCCCTCCACAGTCCACACCAATTTCTCATTACAGTACTACTGTTACTGTTGAACCAAAACCCAGGCATGGAAGAGATCAAGCACAGCCATGTCCAAGTCAGGGGGCTCAATCTTCACCTCGCCGAGATCGGCACTGGTACGTTTTACTTCACTAATCACAGCATTTCACCATGTAAATTAGCTCCATTTAGATGAATGTAGCTTTGAATTTGTACGTGTTAATATATATAATGGTGGGATTGATTGCAGGTTCTGAGGTTGTGCTTTTCCTACATGGATTCCCTGAGATATGGTACACCTGGAGGCATCAGATGGTCGCCGTCGCGAAAGCTGGGTACAGGGCCATTGGCTTCGATTTCAGGGGCTACGGGCTCTCCGACCAGCCGGCGGAGCCCGACAAGGCTAACTTCCTCGACTTCCTTCACGACACCATTGCCTTGCTGGACCTTCTCGCCATCCCCAAGGTACGTTTATGCCTCCTTCATTCATCCTACCATTTATTTTCCCCACCTTAATCTTAATTATTTCATTCATTCATTCATTCATTACCTATTGTATTCTTGTTTAACCAAAAAAAAAAAAAAAATCGATCAGTATCGTCCAGTAGAACGTTATAATCTCGACTGATTTGTCTGGGATTAGTTCAGTTCGTCACTCGTGTAACAAAAGTTGAAAACTAGGCGATGGTATGACTAGAACAAATTCATTTTGCTCGTAATGACACTAGTGGAGCTTTGACCCAATTAAACTAAATCGAATATCGGGATCAATTATGAGAGATGTTGTACAATGACGTCATTGATTTAAATAAGACAAATTTGAAACAGTAGTAAATGATTAATGGTGACATGATTGAACCTGGTTGGTGAGCCAAACAAAAAAAAATATGGAAGAAGTAGGTGAGCCATAGCCCACGTTTTTTATATAGAGTCCTTTTTGTTATTTACATTTCCACAGGTAGTTGAACATGGACTGTTGAACCGAGCAAACGGAATCCCAGCTATGGTCCAAACTCCAAACTATGAAAATGGACGAATCTTAAGCGGTTGTTGGATGGATATGGCGACAGTATTATAAATAAGAGATCACGTTATCCATTCAATAGTCACGAAACATACAACGCACGACGACGATCTTGCAATATTGAACTATAAAATCATAAACACATCATAATTTGTCTCCTAGAGAGCTGCAGAAGAGTGTTTTTTGTTTTAATGTTAGTTAGTTAATTGAATTCTATTGCAATATGGTGAACTAAATAACAGGTGTACCTGGTCGGAAAGGACTTCGGAGCGATCGTGGGATCCATGGTGGCGGCCGCACACCAAGACCGGGTGGGCGGCTTCATCACCCTGGGCATCCCTTTCTTGCTACCAGGTCCAGACGGCATCAGGAATCACCTCATGCCCAACGGCTTCTACATCAACAGGTGGCAGGTGCGTAATGTCTATCTAATTAACTAACTAACTAACTAACAATAGCACAACTGATTCGGCCACCTTGGAAACCAAACTCCAACAGGAGCCCGGGAGGGCCGAGGCCGATTTTGGGAGGCTACAAGTGAAGACAGTGATTAAGAACATCTACACTCTCTTCTCTGGTTCCGAGCCACCGGTGGCTCGAGACGACCAAGAGATCATGGACTTGGTCCCGCTGTCCGCTCCTCTGCCGCCGTGGTTCTCCAACGAGGACCTTCAAGCTTATGCTTCCTTGTACGAGAAGTCAGGGTTTCGTGTCGCTCTCCGGGTTCCATACAGGTAAATGCATGCGCGCGCCCGACAGCTTAAAACAAACAACCCGTTTCGATTTGGCTGATGATCACCATATGTATCATCCTTTTGGTTTGTGTAGGACGCTGGGGATGGATTGTGGGATACGTGACCCAAAAGTCACGGCTCCTTCGTTGCTGGTCATGGGGGAGAAGGACTACGTCCTCAAGTTTGCTGGAATGGAAGACTACATAAGGAGTGGGGCGGTGAGGCAATTCGTGCCCGATCTGGAGATCGTCTTCCTGGAAGACGGCAACCATTTTTCTCAGGAGAAGCTTCCGGAGAAGATTAATGAACTCATCATCGGCTTCCTCGACAAGTACAAGAAGAACTGAAGAACAAGGAGGTGGTGGTGGTGGTGGTGGTGTTTTCAAGCACCCGATGTGTTGGTGCAGATCGAAGATTATCTGTTAAGGTTTCTTTGCCAAGAAACCAAGCTTTTCAAATACCTTATTTAGCTGCAACCTTCCTTCTGTTACGTTCTAAGAGATGCTGATAGATTTAAGGAATCGTAACTCTATTATTGATGATACTCGCAAATGCCAAGATTTAAGCAAGTTATTGTACTATGATACATTTTTTTTTTTTATCTAACAAAGAAACATCTTACACAAGATTCAGTTCCAATATGATCCAAGTGGGTTCTCCTACTCAATCAAGTTCATAACCTGGGAATCTGGACTTGAGCGGGTCAATCATATCTAGATGAAGATAGGCCATACCTCCAATCCCTTCAAAAAGTGAGTGAGGGCTATCACCTCCTTGCATCTCTCCTGCTGATATGAGTTTGTGAGCTCTGTCAAGTAAAAAGCAAGCAAATGCTTTTCCTCTGTAAATGAACTGGTGGTTGCCTGTCATTCGGTACAGTGAGAGGAAAACATAGGCATTCCCACTAATGCCATGGCACATTCCAACTCGCTTCAGCAACCCCCGGTTCCATATTAACTCTGCTGCATCCATGGCGGCTTCCAGGAAATCCGTGTCTCCAAAAACCTGATATTCAAAAACACGTGTGCGATAAAAGGCCTAACCAAAGTCATTTCTAGATGAAAATTAGTTACAAACAATGGCATATAGTTCGTGATTCTGAGTCATTTGCCACTTTTCCAAGTACATCGGCTACAGGATTTCATGAGTCGGGGCCTACGTTCATACATAGCAACATCAAAGGATAAATGATGAATCATGCCAAATTAGTAAATTACATAATGAAAGACCACAATGTACAAGAGGCTACTAGATCGAGTCCAAAGAATTTGTAGTTTTGGTTTCACTAAATTCAACAATCATTTACAAATCTATTGAACATGCAAATGTATGATGTGAGATTTTGGTCTCAGATTTGTAGTCATAGAGGGGATCAACCCCCTATTTGCCAAGTGGGTCTGGAATGACTCCTCATTATGCGGGTAAGAAGAGGCAATATAGAACCTGGCATAGAGAAACTGCAGTATTCACCTTAGCAGCCTTAATAAATGTAAGGGTGATACCAGGAGCACCATGACACCAATGTACAAGAACATCCCTAACTCGATCTTCCTCACTCGCAGGGTAGTTGCCACTCGGAAACCGATTCTTGATCATGTAATACAAGGTCCCTTTGACATCACTAATCTCATCTGGTGTGAGTTCTACATCCATCAAGCCGTGCATAATACCTGCAAGACCGTGTGCAGCACCCCAATACCTCTCTCCGTACCATTCAAACATCAATGGAGGACCCCCTTCCTTGGCCATTGCCCTCCCATTCTTGATAATTTCATCGGCAACTGCACGCTACATCAAATTTGCCATGCTACATTTATACTCTGGCTTACCCAACTCATCACTAAACTAAACCCTTAAAGACACAAGTTTTGATGTAATAGAACTTACCATCTTTGTTTTGGGAATTGTACCATCACCAATATGCTTGTTGATGAAGGAACAAGCCCACAGGAACCCACTCCTTCCATACAAAAACTCATCAGAATGATCGGATGACAGCTTGACCTGTTCATATCACACCATCAAACTCATTCTGCAAACCTTTTTCAAGTTCTCACCGAAAGGGTTTTTTTATTTACCAAAGTTGAAAGCGAAAGCAAAGATAATAAAAGCAACAACCTCTTCAAATTGATTTAGATAGTAAGTTCTTAATGATTCATCATCAGCATACTTTGCTGCTACAGTCCCAAGGGCACAAACACCGCCTCGCCCACCTAAAAATGTCACATCCCTGTATCACCATACATACGCAACAAAACACTCCTCCTTAGTTGAGTAGCTTGCTTTATTTCAATTGTTCTAAAGCATAAAGTAGAAAATGCACCATGCTCAGTACATTGGGGACAGACAAAACAAAGCACCTGGAAGTTGAAGAAGCAGAATCGCAAGCCTTAACGATCTCTAAACAGAGGAGCAGATCGGTTTTGTTGCCAGTCACCTCATAGACCCTGAATAGCAAGAAAGCGGTGCCGAGGGTGCCGCTGTAAAGCGTGAAGTCTCGCACAGATTGCCCAGTTGTCCCCCATGTATCCATCACTATCTGAAACAAAGACCCACCGGGGGCATCAACAACAACAATCGCTCCAAACAAAGAAAACCCAATAGAAACAACAAACGAAAAAACAACTTTCTCCCCATTCCATTTTCTGAATGCGTTTAATGATTAATTAATGGGTTGAGAAACAAAGAAGAAGACCAAACCAATAATAACAAGAACACAAGAGAAAGAATTTTGATTACGGTTTCTTTAAGATCCAATGCAGCGCGTTGGAAGCGTTGGGAGAGGGAAGAGTAAGGCATGGATAGAAGGTTGACGAGAGGATCACCGGACGTGGGCTTCTCTTTCTGGGATTCCGGTGTCGGCTCTTGCGGTGGTTGCTCCGGAGGGTCTTTAGCGGACGGCTGAGCTTCCGAAACGTAGTCTGGCATAATGTTGGGGAAGAATCGATCCGTCATCTTTCCGTTGATGTTGCGTTACGGATTTCGATTGATTTTCTCCTCCTTCGTAATAGTTGACGGGTAACATGCCCAGAATCTTGATTGACGAGAGTGCGAGAATGGAAATTGGGGAAGAAGGGCTGAGGCGGATCGGAAGGAAAGGATGAATGGGAAGTCATTTGCATTGTTCCACGTCCAGGAAACGTGGCAGCTGCCCCTTACTTCACTAGATTTGAGCCCACCCGTTGAGCGAATATATTTCGACAATAATACATAATCGACAATGGTAATTGTGTGAAGTAAGATACGTTTGTATTTGATATTTCAAAAATAACTATATCATTTAATGACTTCAAAATTAAAAACTACATTATATAAGTTTCAAATTCTAAGTGATTCATTTACAAAAAGGAAAAAAAAAAACTTATGTAATGAAGTCGACTCTTAGAAAAAAATTCCAAAACTACACTTTGATTTACCTCTTTTTGTCAGAAATACTATAAATTTTATTTATATTTCTTTCAATTGCTATTCCATCAACAACATGAAATTTGAAGTGAATTTTAAATGTTTGCTATTGTACAAAGTATAGTAACCTTGACCTTAAAGAAATCTTCTTCAATTTCACTTCTTGTCAATCTCATTATATTTTTATGACATTACTTGTAAGTTGGTATGACCGAAATATCATCACATGGTTGGATTGATGTGTTTGATTGAAATTTAATGATTAGTTTATTTGAATTGACCTATAAGCTTCAAAGTTCTCAAAAGTCCAAACCCTTTGAACTTGAATTAGAGGGTGAAAGAATTAATTTACCATTTGGGAATCATACCCAAATATCATTACTCGAGAAGAAAGTAGTCGTATTCATAATGTTTTAAAACTTGAATCGTACAATAAAATTCCACATACCACTTGGCTAGGTGTATAAGGTATCAAATCCTTATTGTTTGTTACTTTTGAAAATGTTCAACATGTTCTTAGCGGGTTGTCTATTTGTTAGATTACTTTTATTTTTGTGGAATTACTTTCTATTTGAATGTTTAAATCTAAAATGATGTATAAACATATATAATAAGATAAGTAATTTATTATGATTTTTACTCTGATCATAATACAAATGACAAAATATTAATGGCAATAAACCTAAAATTGCACCGTTATTAATTAGTTCTAGTTTTTGTCTTGCCATGCCAAGCTAAATTCCATATACAAAGTTATCTCTTTGCCTTAAGACTAGATCTAGACCAGCCCGTTGGTCGGATACATTTTATCAATGGTATAAACAACAATAGCAATTGTATGAAGTAAGATAAAACATTAGTTAAACTAGCTTTTTACCCGGCCCGTCGGCCGGAGAGTTTCATTTTATCGTTGACATTAATTCAATTTATCTATATGTTTAAACTATTTTAGACCTTCTAAATTTATTATATTTTGTATTAATAAGTGAGTATGTGGTGTGTCTATATATTGAAAATTCTCAATACTTAGTACATTCACTTATAATGTTTGAATTCTCTAATCATAAACCATGTCACAAAGGTATACCACGTCCCATGTACAATTTTTTCTATCTTATATGAATCCATGTTGTTCAGATGAGGACATCTTAGTTAGAGTTTCTTTGTACATATACTTCATTATTGGATAAATTTCTACATCCCAATTAAAATTTGACACTTTGGATGTTCATGAAGTTTACTGTAAGATCTTATTTGTATTTAGTCTCTTATACAATATGTATCAATTGCTAATTTTTTAAATTTAATTTGGACTAACTGAGACTCATTGTCGTTGTTTATATATTATTTTAGAATCTCAATCCAAGATACTCACATACAGATTTTGATCTTAATATGGTGCGTTAGTGTATAATTTTACAACTTGTAGAACATTCGTTTTCTAAAATTTATTTATGTTTGGTATTAGTATAGAAATACAAATTTCATTAATTATACTAATATATGCATTTTTATGTATTGCTACATTTATTGTCAATATATAAGCATATATATTAAAAAGAGTTTAATTATTTTTAAGTGTAATTAATACTTGTTTTTTACTGGGATTTGTAAAATGTTAAGAAAATAAAGGGAAATATGAACAATTGTAAAAGAAAATAAGGAATGGAAGGACACATTATAAGTGAGAGAAAATTTATTCTTACTTATCATCTTCATTTATCAAATGAGGTGATCTATTCTTGCTCCATTGAATTTTTATCAAATTATTTTATTCCGTAAATATATTATTAGTTATGCATGTGTTTTATTGCAAAAAAATGCATGTGTTTGCTAAGAAAGATCATATCTCTTACGATGATCAACTTCTCTAATCTTACCTCATTTTCATGTGAATTTTCAAGAAGTCTCCTAACGATCTTATGTTAACATATGTCTATCAAGAGACCCAAATTTAGTATATTATATAACAGAGTAAATACATTTTATTAATCAAATATTTCAAAAAAAATTCAAAATACAAAGTATTAGTCAAACGTTAACTCCCCGTTAGCATTTTTAGTAGTAATGTTGACTCAACAACATGATGATGAGTTGGAAGAGACAGGTGACGGTCTATAATCCAATTTAGTATTTTAATTAAAAAAGAGTTATAAAATTATTAATGATAACAAACAAATGGTTAATATTTTGATGTGATACAAAATATTTGGCTAATCATTTATAGTTTGAAAGGTTTGGCTAATAATTTAAAACACTAAAAGGTTTAGCTATTTAAATGTTATTTACTCAATATGTATCAATTGCTAAGTTGTCTCCTCCCACATTTTGTCACGGCCACTACTGAAGATCTATACCAGATCTGCTCTGTCCAATCTTCACCTTTGTCCACCAATTCACGGCCCATATAGTAACATCGCTAGCTGAATTTTAAATTGTCCTCCTGCACCATTTCTCACAGGCGCCACCAAATTGTGGACATTGTTAGTTTCGTCTACCCGGGTATTTCCATTCTCTATTGCATTTAACACCCGTTATTTGGTTTGCTTTCCTTCACTCAAAATTTCTTCTCCTAACGACAAATTAAAAGGTAATGGCCTAGCACCTACTTAGCATATGACGTAAACTGAAAATTTACTTAATAAGATTTATTCAAATATTTTTGTTTAAACAATCGCGATACATGTCAGCCTAACATTAGTATACTGTTGCTACACATATATACTACAAAAGGTACAAATGAATTACTAAATAAAAATAAAAGAAAACATTAAATGAAGATAGAGATAGCTACATAAATTGAGCATTAACTTACTTTTGTGTTTGTAAAAAAAGTGTCAACCATGATAATTTGTGAGTTCTTCAAGTGCTTATGTAGCAACAAACTATTGTTGAATTGCCATAGATGGATAGATTTTAAACCTTTATTTGATTAATGCATAGGTCAGTGGTTGATGAACACATGTTTAACATACAGTTTAGCAAAGATTCATCTAACTTTCATATGTATCATTTTTTAACGTATCTCATGTCTCGTCTTAAGATATGAAGTCAAGTTCATCAACAATCATACCAAAGTCATTTTGAAAATTTTGATTTATAATCCTTGAAAATTTATTACTCCAAGTCTGAAAATTAAATTTATTAACATATGACGTAAAACTTCAGTAGAGTTTGCTCAATTAACACGATCTAGAGCAAAAATGAAAAATATTAGTAATTTGAACTTAGGATACATTGTAAATTATTGCACCTATGATTCATATGTTTTCACTTAATTAGAATGAATAAGGTTTTTGTTTAAGAAATAGATTTTATTGCTTGGTCAAGTTTCTATTCAAACCTTTTTGTTTTCTCTCTTTAATTTTCATCATTATTTTGTCGGGATAAAATGTTATTATGTATGTGTGTTTGTATAAATTGTTCATGAAAATGTAACATATTTGTAAATTATTGTAAAAATGAGTTAAAAATTTACTTAGTAAGCTTTAATAAGATATTTTTTTGGTTGAGAAAAAAGTTATATGTGTGACTCAAAGATATTAGTCTATTGTTGTGTACATCGATACACTGCAAAAGTAGAAACAAAAACATAAAGGAAGTATTGAAAAAGAAAAAATAAATATTAAAAAAGTTAGAGATAATAAAGGTAATATATGTCACTTTTCATACATTATTATTATTGTGTACATTGATATAATACAAAAAAAAGATAAAAGGGAAATGAAATATTAATTGAAGAGAGAGATAACTCCATAAATATATCAATAACTATTTTTCTTTTTGTAAAAATATTGTCCACCTTGGCAATTTGGGAACTCTCCAAGTGCTTAGGTGGCAAACAATTACTTTTGAATTGTCATAATATTATGTATAGATAGATAGATAGATAGATAGATAGATAGATGAAGAGAACCCAAATGATGTGAAGATTGATAAACCTTGAAAATCTCCGGAGTGCACCACTCGAAAACGATTATAACCATTCATGGCAAGCTTGATGGATCTTACAATCTGTTCCTTTTAGTTTGCAAATGAGTCGCCTCATTTGAAATCTTAAATAGGCATAAACAATCTCATAAAAAACACATAATTTGATAATATATAGCTTGAAAAGAAACAGCAAACTAATGGATTGCCCATAAGAATGTTGATAATTCTCATGTATGTACGCTTGTCTTGTATATAGAGCACATTTTCTTCTTCTGATAGTTCATCTCTAATTTATGTGAACTAATTTATGAAAATGTAATATGACAAAGATTGATTTTTGTATGGTTGAGCAGTTCAACATAGTTGGATAGATAATAAATAATTTATAGTTCTCACCTTTGGTCATACATCAGAAACTTTATTTTACACTTTAGAGACTTATCAAAATCAACCAATTCTTAATATTAAGTATTTTATTACATTTGAATTTTAAGATCGAATTTAAGCATTTTTGCCAATCCTTAATATTAAGTATTTTATTACATTCGAATTTTAAGATCGAATTTAAGCATTTTTTGATTTATTGGATGTTTTCAAGAACCATATCTCTTCGGGCTATAGAACTGCCATAAATCATTGTTAAAAGCTATATGACAATTAACAGGAACAATTTTAAAAATAATTGAGATAAAACATATTTAGTGGCTAAATCTTTGGGAGAGAACATTTAGACATAATGATGTGGTTATTCTTGGCATAATATTGTGAAACTATCTGCTTCAACATGGAGAACCATCTTTATAGAAGAAATTTATTAGGGGCAATTCATCATGACTAAAACATGAATTTCTTTTTGGTGTTAGAATCCTTATCCGATACGGATACGGTGTGCACGCGGTCGACCTCGTACATATGCGGTCGACCTATTAAGTGTAAAATGGTCGGCCTATGAGGTATCTGGGTCGACCTTTCATTTTGTTCGTTTCTCAAAGAGGTTTATCATTTGTTATAAAAGGTCAACCGCGTCGTTGAACCTCACAAAACTGAAACAACATATTATGTCGATCTAATCCTATATGAGATCGACCGAAAAGTGAAAGTGACAAAGTAATTATTATTATTTATAATCAACTCTTTTTTAATGAATGAGTTGCTATTATTTCACAATTTCGTTTTTTTACATTTGTGGAAAATACCCTCCTTTTAGCTGTCAGAAAATTCTGTTATTTTCCGTTATCGGAAGAAGGGGCCAGAGAGAGAGAGAGAGATCACGATCCGAACAAAACGATCCAAATGCAGAAAACCACTCTTTCCCACACAACAAACAGACTCTGAAGCAACACAGAGAAAACAGAGGCAAGACTCCCCAAATTCTCCCACATCCCCCCTCCAAATTCCACCAATGGCGTCCTTTGATTCCTTCGGCGTCGAAGGCGAACAACCGGTCCTCCCCTCCGCCGCCCACGTTCCTCCGCCGTTCGTCGACGACGATGACCAGGGCTTCATGTCCCACCACCACGACCACAATTCCTCCCACCATTTCGACGAGTCCTCTGCTGCTGGCTTCTTCTCCGCCTCCTCGCCCCCTCCCCCTCCCCCGCCTCCAGGGTCGCACCCCATCGCCGGCGATTCTCCCGACTACAACGGCGGCGGCGGCCTCGATCCCCATTCTCAGGAAATGTACGGTTTCGGGCCCGCGAACCAGAGCACCGATTACGGATCTGCGTTCGACGCGATGGAGAATGCAAATGGTGGAGGTGGAGGTGGAGGTGGAGATGGAGATGGCGGTAGTGTTTTTGTTTCCGGCGGACCCGTTTTGCCTGATCATACTCAGATGGTGGAGGAAGGGTTCCAACGACGAGAATGGCGACGGTGAGTCTTATTTTTTAAAATTTTATTATTTCTACTTCCATTTGTTCCAAAAACAGGGGTTGGGGAATCAACTTCAGGGGAGAAGAAATCATGATCCAATTACCGAATAGAAGTTAATTCGCTCAAAAATCATATTGAATTCTATTGGTAAGAAGAAGAAAAAGTGCTGAAACCTCGATGATTTACAGTCAGAATGCAATCCATCTGGAGGAGAAGGAGAAAAAGGAGAAAGAAATGAGGAACCAGATCATAAACGAAGCTGAAGAATACAAACGCCAATTCTACGAGAAGAGAAACCAAAACTGCGAGACCACCAAAGCACAAAACAGAGAGAGAGAAAAGGTTTGGTAACAAAGAAAGAGCCAATTTTGTTTCCCCTCTGCCGAACGAAATCTGAATCAGTGAATCCTCTGTTTTCTTTTCCCCTGCTGCTGGCAGCTGTATTGGTCGAACCAGGAGAAGTTCCACAAAGAAGCCGACAAGCATTACTGGAAAGCCATAGCTGAGATCATCCCACGAGAGGTTCCCAACATTGAGAAGAGGAGATCCAAGAAAGAATCGTCCTCCGACCCGAAATCGGCCTCGGTGATTGTGGTTCAAGGACCAAAACCAGGGAAACCCACTGACATGGTGAGAATGAGACAGATCATCTTCAAGTTGAAGCAGCACCCTCCCGCCCACATGATGCCGCCACCTCCCGAGAAGAAGAAAGAAGACGGGAAAAAGGAAGGTGAAAAGGGAGCTGAAGCGACCAAGGATGGGAAAGATGGGACTAACAAAGATGGTGCTGCTAACAAGGAAGAGAAAGACGGGAAGAAGAATGTGGATGAGAAGAAAAGCTCTGCCACTGATGCAAATAATAATGGAGGAGGTGGTGATGACAGCAATAAGAAGCAGCCTGGTTCTGATGGTAAAGATAACACCGATAGCAACAAGAGCTCGTCTAGTAACGTTGCTGCTAACCAGTCCAAAACAGAGGACCCTCTTGCTGGAATTGGTCAGGTTGAGAAACAGGGGACATCTAACAAGTGATCGTCTGATTCATGGGAAACCCACATCAGTTCCTTTGATTCTTTGCTCCAACTTTGGTCTTGTCATTCTTTGATTCTTTGTTTTTTATTTCTTTTTTTATGTTGTAGCCATTTCATTGAGGCAGAAATAAGGTGGTTACTTAATTGTTATAGGCTTATAGCTCGCTCAACCAGTCAATAAGATGGGCTGGTGGAGAGCTGCAAGAGTTGTTCTTTTTTTGGGTTTACCTGATAATTAGGGTTTACATTGGTATTTGTAGGGCATCCCTGCCATTTTTGCTCCTATTAATTAATTATGCAGCCAAACATCTCAACACTTAAATATATTAGCTCTATTCAGTATTCAGCATTATAGGCCACCTGGACAAGGTCAGAATTTTGTGTTCTATTTGATTTTGGATCCATGCAAACTACTGTTTATCTTTTTGTGCTTCCCATCCTAATTAGAGAGTATTCAATCGGTAAACGAACCACAAATTCACAACACAAGCAAACCCCAGAAAAATGCATATGGATCCATGGATACATTCAGTTATATCAACAAGATGAGGAAGATAACAGCTTTCTACTTCAGAAACAGTAAACTAGAACACAGATGTTCAAACCCTATTCTGATCATATGATGTTAGCGTCATTAGTGAAACCTTGGTTATGGTGGGAAATATTCACAAGTGTGCAATAGGGTGGTCCTGGGCAACAACACATGGCCTTCCGTCTTTCCCATATTCTGGTTTTCTACTACCTCTCCATACTCTTCTGCTGCAAATTCCAATCGATGATTCGGATCCAATTACCTGACCTGAAGATCATATCCAAAACGGATTAGGAATGCATTGCACTGCAGATTCCAAGAAAATCATGGCAGCAACTTCTACAAACAGCACAAAGGTAAAGCAAACACAATCCTTAAATAAAACTTTTGCACTATTCACCCTAAATCCCGCATAATACGAAAAGCTAAAAGTTACCTTGCTAATTAAAACTTTCTTGCTATAAAATAAGAATTTGTTACCAAAATCATACTCGGAATACACCAGACTCTAGAATTGAATCTTTAAGAACAATCATCTAAGAAAATAGATCTATCTAGGTGCTAATCATCAATCCACCACTTATCAAATTGAGGGTTGTCGGTATGGAAGTCATCATTCACAATGCAGAAAAGTAAGCACAAATCAGTGGACTATGTGAACTAGGTTGCATGAACTGAAGAATGGTATAGAAAAGAAAGACCAGACCAATTGGCTTGAGCAAATTTGCAAATGCCAGAATTAAGTACCCTCACCTTCTCGTTAACTCTTATACTCCATGTGTCGGTTCTGGGTGCAAGGATAGGGTTACCAACGACATACCCAGGGGGGTAAACACGATGCCTCAGAAGTGGTGATCTTTCTGGAATGTAATCGTCGTCACTGTCATAATATGGATGTGGGCCAAGGGCTTTGAGCATCACTGCGAGGAGAACGGATAGTCCCTGAAGAATATACGAACAGAAAGTTAACCATTTAAGTACGAAACAGGTATTGGAAGGGAATTCTGCTGGTCCCCCTAGATATGTAAAATGAATCAGTGGTAAAAATGAAAGTTATGAGACCAAGATATTGAACAGACTCAAAAGCTCAGACATTTTTTGGGATTGATGGGTGATACAATTTTGACCAGTCTTAGTTCATAGAGGTAATACAGGAGGTGCTTGTTATGACTTGTAAGAAATTTATTTTACAAATGGACAAACTTACAAGATAAGTTGGGGATCCCATCCTTTATTATATGGTTGTTTTAGGGTTCAGGGTTAAATGGAGAAATTGTCTTCATCTTTCTTTTGTGGATAAGACCCTTGCGCTAAAGAAACACCAAACAAATTCAAAGTAGATTTACACTATTAGACTTCAACTTAAAATAAGCCACTATAAGTCAATTCAAACACCCAAGATCAATCCCACAAAGCCAACAAAATCCAAGCGGATTCTGGAAATTGACCTCAGAAACAGAAGACAATCAACAAATAAATGCATTGCTACGGCTTGAAATTGTGAGGATGATGGAGAAGATACCTGGACAGCCACAATTGACAAGCCCACCCACTTGCATATCTCAAAGTGCAACCGAATGAAGTCTTTGAACTTATCAAAACTACCACTTGGGTCTTTTGGGAAGTCCTAAGAGAATTGGAAATCGCATGATTCATCAGGTCAGCATTTCAATTGTAGTAGCATAAAACTCATAGAAACAAGAACACTTTCAGTTTTTCTCTACCTTTTCCCAATCACGGTTCAGAAATACATCTGCGGTCACAGCAGCCTCCACCATTACAAGCACGAACATGACCATCATATACTATCCATTTGTCAAGGCGAAATCAGTGACACTTTGAACTTCGTCAAAAAAAATCAGTGACACTTTGAACAGCAGAATTTCAGCTCATGGTGAAACCATTGAACATTTTCTAAGAAAGATCTGTCAGGATTCATGACATCAAACTAACCAATTTCGGGAAAGGATACCAGATAAAGGCAACAACCATTAGCGGTTTCTGCAGAAACATGGCCTAAACATGTGATGACACATAAAGTAGCGCCAAGACCTAGGAAAGAGTAAATGAACCTGCATTCCACAAAAGCAAACTCATTAGCCATCCTTAGGAAACAAAAATCAACATCTTGATTGATTAGCAGTGACAAGACATCTAACTAAGATCAACAGATCCTAGCCCAAACATTTCATGTGTTTCAGGAATTACCTCCGCAGAAATATCTTTCCAGTTTACACACTGTCATCCATGCCAATTCAGTCAACAAAATGGTACTAACTATTGAATCAATTGAAACCAAATCGAACCCACAAATCGCTTTGTGAGATCGATTTTCTTTGAGTATTTGCGATTGAAGACATTCTTAACAGATGCATTTGAAACTAACAGTCAGCAGGGCCACCTTGTAATCCCTAACATCAAGAACCAAAGCAAATCATTTCTCCTTACAGCAGCCAGACGAGATATAATCTACGTATGTCCCTTTCCCCCAGCTTCAACTGATCAATGAATGGTTCGAAAGCTTATCAGAGATGCCTAAAAATACTCTACAACTTTGACATGGATTTGCACACTCAGAAACTACCCACGAAATCAGACACAATCACAATTCAAATCAAAATGTAGAGAGAGAAGAAAAAAAAAAGAGTAGAGAGATCAATATTACCATGGAGCAGGGTAGTTCTCGTCTTCTCCAAAGGGGAATTCGCCAATTTCTCTCTGCCAAGCCTTGATCAACCAAACCGCATACAGCACCATGGCCAACCCAACCATACCCACCACCGAATTCACCAGTTTGAGTATTGATTGAACGCAGCTCCTCATTAACCTCACCATTGCGGCTGCTTCTTGGTAGCACCACCAGCGACAACCCAGAAACCAAAGTTCAATTGGAAAGAAACAAAATTTCTTTTAGGCGAAGAAAACCCCAGATGAGAAGGTTCGATCTGGGGGCCCCTGATGCGCGTCAGGAAGGAGGAGCCAGCAGAGACGGGACAAGAGAATGATGTAGTTTCGTGCGAGGCGGAAGCTTCGTGGCCTTGTGTCTTGAATTGGCGTGGGAAAATAGTAAAACCCTAGCTAACTTCCAACCAACGGGGCAAACAAACAAACAAACAAAAATGAAGGGAGAGAAGAAGAGTGTTTGGTTTGTAGTTTTGAGAATCTGCTTATTGGACGGACTGTTTCTTTGCTGGGATTTACGGATTCGCCGGGCGGATCTTACCTTTGCCACAGTTGGCTGGCGGTGGTGCTTTTTCTGTTTCTCTCAATGGGTTTCGATTTATATCAAACTTCTACGTCAACAAGCAAGTCTTCTCAGAGTTGAGTTGTGTGACTATAAAATACAACAAGTCATCATGTGTGTCTTTCTTAATTATGCATGTGGCATAATTGTGCATTAGACTATTACTATCATCAATATGTGGAACCTTACCGGATTGTATATGGCCAAACTGATGTTTGGATTGTACCATACCGAACCAAATATAATGTGGTTCGATCTTTCGTCCCATGAATTTTATAATACTGAATAAAAATTGATAGAGATAATATTTGAATTGGAGCAAATTAGATGAGAAAAGCATATTTGGTTCGATTCTTAGTCCTAAGATATCTGTCACTATTAAATCGCAATTCTCATAAATTTAGTATGATTCAAACGGTTGCACACCCTAATCAGTGTAGCTAAAACCTAATTTTTGTTAATTATGATTATGGCCATTTGATTATTACATTGCAGGGATAGTTCACAGTTGTCATCAATAGTGTAGTCTGTCTAGGAGGCTGAATTGCAAGTTTGGTCACCCAGATTATCAATTTGTTTCGAGTTTGCCACTCGGAAAATTTTCCTTTCTTAATGGTTGCCTACTTTAATATTTTATTTCATCGTTGGTCACTGCCGTTTGATTTTGTTAAGTTTATCCTATGTGGTAGTCAACAGTCAAGTTTGAATGATAAAATGATGTGACAGTTAAAAAGTAAATAAATATTTTATTTTTGTCAATACACGTGTTAGCGAGAGATATGCTTTATTCCCCAATGGGAACTCCGCATCGTCGAGTCGTAATATAGCTATTCTACTTACAGGGTAAGTTGTGAGTATATACTCACATGGTGAGGATGGAGGCCACATGGGTAGGGCTGGAAATACCGAATACTGTACCAAATTTATCACTATTTGGTATTATCGAATATCGGCTTATTTTTTAGGAATTGGAATTCATTTTGGAGTGCTATTTGGTATTCGGGATTGGGATCGGTATATACCAAAATACCGAGAAATACCAAAAATTAAAAATTAATGAAATATAGCACATAACCTTTAGTCATTCCTCAATCTTTCACAACTTAGAAGCCCCCATCCAACTAAATTTTGACTTTCCAGTTTAAGTCATTCTCGTATCTCAACTAATCTCTTGTTATTTTCATAACACAAAAAAAAAACAAACACTAGTATTAGTTGTATCTCTGCCTCCAATTCGTCAAATTAAAGATTACCAATGACAAGAATTTGAGATGTCACCTCTCCTCCATTCTCCTTATCCATATCCTAGCTCTAGGCAAACTCAAGACTCTTTGTCCTAAATTAAATAATCAAATTTAATTTATATATTTAATTATTAATTGCAAAGGTAATTAATTTCGTATTCGATTATACCGATTGGGATACCGAAGTACCGATAGGGATACCAAAATATTTAGCGATTGAGATTTGGATTGACTTTAGGGTGTAATTCGGTATTCGGGAAGGTCTCATTTAAGTGGATTTTAGTGGCTTCTTAGTTGCTAGACAAGCCAGCTGAGAGAACTCATATCCAGCCTAGTAAAACTAATATCCAAAATGCACGAACTAGTAGCCAAGTCTGCTGGTTTTATGAAGTAGTACTAAAGTATACATGAGAGCACATACTACTATCTAGAGAGGACAAACTAGTATCCAAACATCACAAAACTAGTATCAAACTCACAGAATTAGTATTCAGCCAATCAATTACCAACTAACATAATCAAACCAACTAGTATTTAAGGGTTGCTAACTGATATCTACCCTGAAATAAATTATTATTCCACATTCACGAACTAATATCTAGACAACACATAATAGTATTCGTACATCACATAAATAGTATTCAGTCAATCAATTATGAACTAATACCCACATTCAAAACAACTAGTACTCAAGGTTAGCTAAACGATATCCAGCATGAAAACAACTATTATTCCACAATCATAAACTAATATTCAGACAACACATAATAGTATCCATGCATCACATTATTAGTATTAAGTCAATCAATTATGAACTAATATCCACATTCAAAACAACTAGTATTCATGGTTTGCTAAATGATATCTAGCATGAAAACAATGCGTATTCCACACACGAATTAATATCCAGATAACACATAAGAGTATCTATATTGCACACAACTAGTATTCAGATAAAAAAAATCATTCACGAACTATTATCCATGGCATTAAATAGCAACGATCTAAAAAAAACACAAAAAGACAAGAAATAGAAAAAAAAACCCCAAAAAATTCAAAAAAAAACCCAAAAAGGCAAAACACCAAAAAAAAACCCAGAAAGCCAAGAAACCAAAAAATAGAACAGTTTGAGAGGAAAAGCCTACCACAATGAACAAAACCCGCAACATCATATCTTCATTAAAGGCACTTCAAACTCCAATGATTCAAAGATTAGCAAGACCAAATTAGATATAAATTCCTAGAGAGAAGGAAGAGTAGAATTTTCAAAATAAAGAAGAGAGAGAGGTATTCTCAAATCATACGGATACTATATTTATATTTTGGATATTAGTTTCTCAGCTGGATACTAGTTCTCTCAGCTCGTTGACTCTCAGCCAAAAAGCCACAAAAATCCACTTAAATGAGCCCCTTCCTGAGCCATTGAGCCCCAACCCTTGGATCTCCACTCCCTCCATGTGGCATTCATATTCACCGTGTGAATATATACTAAAAACTGTGAGTGTTAGCAGATTAACTTTTTTCACCGAGTCGAACCCGAGTTCGACTTATTTCCGTCTAAGTGAAGTATAGAGCCGACATCGGAGTTGTCGAGAGTGATGGTGAACCTTGGGTCTCCGATGTCGGAATTTTCTGCGCTCTTACCCTGCAACGAAACCAAGAAGTCGAAAAGCGAAGGGGAAATTTGTTGCCGAGCAGCAGTCAAAGTTTTGTTGATTACGTGTTTCCCCTCTTCTGACCCAGTTCACGCCGCTCCAGCCGATTTCAGCCACCAGGACATTGACCGAATTCATTTATTCCCGCCTGTAATCCGCTTCCCTTGCTAAATCTCCAAGACGGGACGCAAGGGAGAAATAAATGAGCTTGTGTTTCAGGATAAAGCAGATATGCAGATCCCCCTCACCTCTGCTTAACGCATCGTCGAATCACAATCCTTTTCCTTGCTAGACCTACTAAGAATAGTCAGCCTTCATTGGTGACGTTCTCTCCTCTGGTGGCCACTCTAGAGTCATTTTGTTTGGTCTACAGAGCTTCATATGTCGATCGTCTTGTCTCTCAATTTCAGTGGCGTCAGGGAAGATTTCACCGAGAGATAGGCTTGAAAAAAAAAGAATTTCTCAAACTCTTCATTAGTGGTGATCACACGCGGTTTGGAGAGGTTGACACCAACAACGTGGCCGATGTCGGCGGCGTGGTTGATGCCGGCGGCGTAGCCGATGAGGAAGACGGCGACCAAGATGAAGGCGGTTCCGCCGGTGATGAAGGGACGTTGGTGCCAAGTCGGGATGTGAAGCGATTGTTGTAGTAGTCGTCGGCTCTAACCATAGGCGGGTGCGGCGAGATTTTAGGATTCTTGGAATTAATTAGATCAGAGAGAACGATTGGAAAAGAAGGAGGCGACGTGGTGGCGGAAGAGTAGATGATGATCTTGCGAGGAAGGGATTTCTATTTAATTTTATTTTGGTAAAGGGTTTTCTTTTTTCTTTGACACGCAATGAGACGGATCCTCCCGACGATGGAGGCGCTATGAGAGAAGGGTTTCACTGTCCCTGCGACTTATTCGGTTTGGTGGGCACTGTCACGGACCAACTCTTAGTCGTGCGGTACTTAGCACTCAGGTATCGTTAGAGCACTAAGTCAGCCTAGCGCGAATTCACTCAAACTCACAAGTTGGGAGAAACTCTAGAGATGGAAATCTGTCAATTTCTGGATGAATGACAAATGAGGGAGAGGGATGCTTATATAGGCATCCTCTCCACTAAGTACAATGCATGTAGGCCATCGTTAATGAATGAACCTAAAAATTCCCACATACATGAACTTGCCCCATATATGAACTAGTGATTGACCGTTATATGTACATGTTTTGGCCATCATTATTGAACCGTTTGAGAGTCGATTCTCGTGCTTTAACCCAATTTCACGCTAGGTTGTGCGTTTATGTCATATTTCAGGACTTGGTGTGAAAATGAAGGCTTGGAAGCGAGTTTTGGGTCAAAAATAGAGAGTTGGCGCCTAGGAGTAGCTGGAGATCAAAATACCCGGTCACGATACTCAAATACCCGACCGGGTATAATTTGCTGGGAGAGAGGGTATTCGACCGAGAGAGCAAAAAAAGAAACATAAGGAGGCCCAGTCAGGAACCCAAAATACCCGAACGGGTATTTTTACCCTAGGTCGGGTATTTCCCCTGAGCTGTTGCGCTGCGTTTCATAATACCCGGGCGGTCCTCTGAATACCCGACCAGGTATTGGGCCAGGTATCGCGAGCTGCAGCTCTTAGCTGCAAATTTCAGGATTTTGAAGGAGGAATCAAGTTCTGGAGCAAGAAACAGAGGTTTAGAGAGAGAAAGTGACCAAGAGAGACCATTGAGCGCCCTAGATAAAGTTCTACACCATTGGAGCTCCATTCAAGCCTCGAGGATAAACGATTGAAGACCCCGGTGCCAATTTCTTTCGTCTACATGATGATTTCCATATCTGGCATAGCTTTCCACTCTCTCTCTATGGAGTAATCCCCCTTTATCACTTGGGTATGTAAGAACCCTAGATTGTATGTTAGGATGAGTTGTATGACCCCGTAAATGAAACATCAGCGCATCTCAAATTCTCCATTCTAATTTTCTCACACAGGCCGCCGCAGCCACTCATTCTCCCAAACTCCCTGCTGCTGCTCGTCGTCCGTCGACTCCCACAGCCGGCTAGCTGTCGCCCTGGCCTTGGAGGTCCAAACCTTTCTTCTTCCTGGCCTCCGTCACGTCACCACTCAC